CCCTCAGATGATGTTAGAAGTGACGATTTGCTCACTAAGTTGCCTATGAGGTATGGTTTGTATTCCTTCTCATATCTTTAGAAGAATTTTTGAGTGCAATATATGTCCATACTTTGATAAAAATACCCTTTAGTAGTGTAGTTTAAATATTATTTCTTTACTGAGTTTATTAGTTCTCAACTGATCTAGTCCACCTCAAATGATGTTAGAAATGATGATTCGCTTGCTGAGTTACCCATTGAAACATGTTTGGATCTGTTCTTGGATCTTTAAAAATTTTTTGAGTGCATTATCTTTATGCACTCTAATGAAATACCCTTGTAATAAAAGAAGTGACTCTTCATAATTTTTGTATACATATGTATTTTGGTAGCTAACTTATTAGCTTCAGGTGTATTTGAAACTCAAATATTTTGGAATAGATGATATTTTCTGCTGAATATATGTATGTATATGTGTTTATATTTCATGCATTCATATATGTTATGTTATCAAGCACCCTTTACCACACTAGGTATTAGGATGTCACACTTTTTCTCAATATTGGTAAGATTACCAATGATAGTAGTTTTCGTGAAAACTAAATACTTCATTAGGAACTTTTAATGAGACTAATATATACATATAATTACCAATATCAATAATATAAAAAAAATATGAATAAGCGAATGAAACAAAAATATTTTAAATTTTTATGCATCTTAAAAATAGAGAAACACAATGTTAAAAGGGATTTGCTCATCATGTTAACATTCTTAACTTGTTTATTGACAATAATTATAAAAGTTGTACTTCTCAAGTGCATTTAAAAGGTTTTCTTGGATATGATCTCTTGTGAAAAATTCTATTTTTAAAATTAAATGCAAATATCAAATTCCATTCATACAATCACATTTACAACTATCTTTATTTTGTTAATGCAAATAGCAATAAAAATATATTTAATAAAAAGATATTCAAACTCTAACATATATGGAGTATAAGTTCTCTTCAAAAAACAAACATCTAAATCAGATTCTAGTTCAATAAGCCAAGATTCACTAAGTTTTTGTTTGGTCATTTTTGGTCTCTACCTCTTTCCTCCCTCATAACCATTGTTGTAGAAATCTCTCATCGTTATATCTTGTGGTGATGAATAGAGCAATATGAATGAGATGAATGTTATGATTTGTTCAAAGGTGAAGAGGACAATAAACTGAGAAGGCCATTGTTCGATTTCCTATGTGAGGATGAAGTTAAGGTTTTGGAGATCTAAGGGGATATGGAGATTAAGTTTTGTATGAGAGCTTTTGGGTAGATAAGATGAAGGGTGTTGCCCAACTTGACATCTACATAGATTTGCATTGATAATTTTTAGAAATGTATGTTTAAACAAAAATCAAAATATATTAGTTATTAAAATAATTTGTTTAATAAAAAATATTTTAAATTATATTTTATACATATGTTACGTTTAATATTTTATTAAAAGTGAATGTCACATAGATAACAAAGTGGCTTCATTATCGAACTATCACTCGTTAATAGGTAAGGTTTATCACTAATGTTTAGGGATGATAAAAAAATCTTAATTTGATAGTAGTATATCGTTCCATCAAGACCTGTTTCAATTTTTTTAAAACATAAATTGGGCGGAGCAGGTTATGTTAATTTTTAATATAAGCTGAGTCGGGCGAAAAATTCATTGGCACCTAACCGATCTATATATAATGTACATATTTTAATTTTATTTTATATATAAAATTTTTAAGATAACAGTCTCCCTCCTCCAGTCCAGAGAGCCGCCGAAGCCGAATCTCTTCCTCTTTTGTTATCTTCTTCTTCCAGTCTTCCTCTTCCTCTTCGTCTTTGTTCTGCAGCACAGAGCCCGCGCCCCTTGTGGTCTTCCTTCCCTCTTCCAGTCTTCGCCGCATCTGCTTTCAGTTTTCCTCTCCCTCTTCCATTCCCCGCGCATGGTGTTCCTCTTGCTCCTAGCTGGACAGGCATTCGTCTCCGCGCTCTGTCTCTGCTCAAGTTGTCCTCTTCGGTTTTCCACCTGTCTCATATTGGGAGCCAGCCATGGCGATCTTTACGCTTCCCTTGGTCATTTCTGTTCTCAAGCCTCATGCAATTGACCTCGCTCTCCTCCGTGCGCGGAAGTTAAACCCTGGCTGGCTGTGTAAGCCACTGCTGAGCCTCCGGAACTTCAACGGAGCATCTGTCTCTGCCATTAGTACCTCCGCAATTCAAGAGCATTCGTCAACTGACCCTAACAGGGGGCCTCAAAAAGCCTCTGTTCACACCTTTCAACAAGCAATTCAGCGGCTCCAGGTTTTCTCTTAAAAGAACAAAATGTTCTCCGTTACCCCACTTATAAATTCTCTCTTTTCTTCTTTACTTGAAAATTCTAAATTCCTTCTAACATTATCAATTTCTCTTCTTAACTATATATTTTAATCTTGATATTTAATTATTTTGCAGGAATATTGGGCTTCTGTTGGATGTGCTGTTATGCAATGCAGCAACACAGAGGTTTTTTTAGTTGCTGTTTTGATATATATACACATTTACTTTCAGTCGGGGGGAAGTAGAAATCTTTATATGTTGGTTGAAGAAATTCCATCCCATTGGGAAGTTCTAGAGCATTCCTCTACTGACCCCTGTTAGGTTTAGTTGCTATTTTGATATATGTACACATATAAAGATTTCTACTTTTCGGATTGTGAAAATCTGATTGCTGCACTTATGATCGTCAAATTCTTATCTTTTTAAATTATTGGCTACAATGAGCAGGTTGGAGCAGGGACAATGAATCCTCTGACATTTTTAAGGGTCCTTGGACCAGAACCGTGGAATGTAGCGTAAGTTTGGACTTTGAAAGTAAAACCTTGACAGTGTGAAATGAGAATCTTCTATACCCTGCCTTTGTGTGTTTTATGCCTTTTCAAGGCAAAAGGAAGTAATCTTTCACCTGTATCTACTGAGGCATCAACTCCAACAAATTAAGAAACTGGGGGTCCTGAAGTGAAATGGTGCTGCATGTTTTGATTAATCAGTGTTTGATGATCAATTTGGAGAAGTCTTGCCTGTTTTTTTCCCTTTAATTCCCTTTTAGTAATCTGTTATAGTTTGCACTTTGGATTTCTTGCATGGAGTTTCAAATTGAATCCTCTACGAAGTTTTGAAACATCATCTATTTACCGGTAGCTTCTGCCATTGCTTTTGTTCCAAAGAAAGTGCTAATGATAGTTTTTGAAGTTTTTTGCTATCTGGGTGCTAACTTACTGTTTTGTATGGAAGGTATGTGGAGCCTAGCATACGTCCTGATGATAGTCGGTATGGGGAAAATCCAAACAGACTTCAAAGGCACACTCAATTTCAGGTTTATTCTCGTTTATTATATTGATTGAATTGTCATAGATTATGATAAACTTTATTAGGTGGGACCAGTAAATAATTTACACAGCTCCCGCAGGACTTATTATTGTTCTTTTGTTGTCTGAGTTAATTTTTAGGTTATATTGAAACCTGATCCTGGAAATTCACAGGACCTCTTCATCCGTAGCCTTTCTGCTTTAGGTACTATTCAATTGTTTCTTTTTCCGATAAATGCTCAAATAAGTAACGATCTGTTTCAATTATCATAGTTCTGTTTTCTTCTATAATGTATTGTGAAAGAAACAAGAAAAATGCATTCATCATCGTTCACTTGACTTGGGTTGGCCGATTTATTAAGTGAGCAAAAAGTGCTATCTACTTTCTTAATGGGGCTCTAGATTCTGAGAACTTATCTTTACTATCTTTTCTATAATCGTCAATTGGTATATAAGTAAAGTTTCTACCATTTTGTTTCTCCAACTACAGTTTCCTGTTTTCTTTCTATCTAACAAACTTTTTTCAGGTATTGATGTGCGTGAACATGATATACGATTTGTGGAGGACAATTGGGAAAGCCCGGTATTGCATTGTTTATATCATTTAAACTTGTTCTTTATCCCCATGTTGAAAAGGTTATGTAATCTGTTATGGGAGAACTTATAGAGAAATGAAGAGTTCACTTCATAATGAACACATTAACTATGATGCATAAGTGATGAGAATGGATTACACTCTGAATTTCTAAATAGATTAGGAATTCTATTTCTAGCTAAGCTACAATTTGTTGTAGCAGTAAGATAAGGTATTTAATATCTTTAAGTTTTGTTTATGCTTTGAATTCTTTCAAGTTATAAATTTTCTATTAAGATTCATTTTTTTTTATAAGTAAAGAAGTATTATTATAATCAAAAGTATTTCAAAAAAATTATAATCGAAGAAAGAAGATATACGACATTGAGGATAAGACATCCTCTAAATGATCTCCTTAAAATTGGAGGAAAAGAGAAAGAAAAGAAACATAAAATCAATGCAAAATTGCCTTCTGTTTTCTCTGCAACTTAGATAAAGAGATGTCTCTAAAAAAGTTACTTGGATTGGCTCATAAACAAGCTAGAGTAATCATTTCTATCCCAAGTAACTAGGGAGGCATATATTGATCCTTGAAAATTCTATCATAGTGCTCCTAAAAACCATAACACCTACAGACCAGGAAAATGGCACCTCATGTAGAATCCTCATTTCCTTCCTCATCCCATCTCCTTTAAGAGATGATCTCAGGAAATGTTTAGTTTGCGTTAGGCCAAAAGGTTCCAAAAAGCTAAGTCTATATCTCCCAAGCCACTTCACGGTGAAGAAAGAGGTGGTCATGATATTAATTTAACCCAAAACACATCACATATAATAAATCCAATTATTCAATAGAAGTATTTTGAAAATTTTCTGATATTTTTGTTATGTTATGCAACCAAAATTTAAGTACAATGGTTAAGACTTCTTAATAGGTTTACCTAAAATTCCTAAGTGAGCAAAGGAATCCTTGTTTATCCTATATTAATTAATATAAAAGTAAAAAGTTCCTTTAACCAGAATCTCAAAATTTTGTGTCCAAACAAGTCCTAGACCACTGCCAGTAACCTTGCTCATGGTTCATGACTTAGAAGACTGAAGAAGAGAAAGGAAGAGAGGAAAGTCGAAGAGAAGAGAGAGAGGGAAATTTGAATAAAATTTGAATTTGAATATTTCTTGTGCTTTTTCACTTCTGGAGGGTCGAATATATAGGCCAGGGGAAGGGGAGGTGCGCCTTGTCTTGTCATATGCTGGTTACAACATAAGAAACAAACTGTGTTTCGTGAATTGCCTATCTACCCTTTTTCTTTACAATTATTTCCCAATTTACCCTTTTTCCTTTGATAAACCTTAAGTGGTTTTCTTACAATACCCTCCCCTCGAATAACAAGCTTATCCTTAAGGTTGAGATGAAAAATTGTTGATGAATGTATTCATAGTCTTCCAAAGTGCAATTGTTTGATTAAGTTCTTTCCCAAAAGATAAGGTCCTGATCCACTTTGTGATCTCCACGAAGAATGGTTCTTCGTTGCAACACTTGCTTCGGTTGGACACTCACTACTTCGTCCCAGTTGCTAGTTGGTAAGTCTTCCACCTAAATTTCGCCGCCAACAATATACTTCTTTAACTGGGACACATGAAAGACCGAGTGGATACGAGAGGCTGATGGTAATTTGAGCCTATACGCCAGTGGTCCGACCTTCTGTGTTACTTCAAAAGGACCATAGATTCTGGGTGAGAGTTTAGAGCCTTTACTACGTCTTACCGATCATTGCTTAAATGGTTGAAGCCTGAGTAACACCAGGTTGTGTTCTTTGTAACCTCTTTCATTTTGATGAGCGTCAACATACTGTTTGATCCGGAGTTGAGCCTTCAAAATATGTTGCTTAATTGTTCAATTGGTTTCATCTCTATATGCTACAATCTTCCACCAATTGTGAGGCAGAGTGAGGGTCAACACTATCCAATAAACATGGAAGAGTGTATCCATATAGTGCTTGGAAGAGGGTCATTTTCATACTGGAGTAGTAAGAAGAGTTCTACCACTATTTAACAGCAGGTAGCCACTTTGCCCATGTTTTAGATTGTTGATGACCCATGCACGTGAGATATATTTCTAGGCATTAATTAAGTCTCTCTGTTTAGTTGTTTGTAGTGCCCATAGCCTTCATTAACTCTCTCTAGAAAAGGCTAGTGAACACTTTATCTCTATCCGAGGCCAGAACCTGTGGAATTTCATGTAGCTGGTGGATGGTCTCCATGTTTAGTGGAGCTACCTCTTGAGCTGTGAAGGGGTAGTGTAGGGGTATGAAGTGTCCATATTTAGTGAAGTGGTCTATGACCACCAGTATGGTGTCTTTGCCTTTGGGAGTTGGTCGATGAAATTCATGGACACGTGAGTCCATGCTTTAGATGGAATTGGTGGTGGTTGCAGGAGTCTAAGAAGTGGGACATTCTCGGCTTTACAATGTTGAAAAATGTCACAACATTGTACATATTGAGTAACTTGGTTCTTCATATCTAACATATAGAAATGCTGTTTAGCTCTCTCATAGGTGGATCTAATTCTCGAGTGACCTCCAACAGCTGAGTTGTGGCATTGATGTAGTAATCTGATTTTCAATTTGTTATTAGCTCCAATTAACAACCTGCCTTTGTAACAGATGAATCTGTATCGTAGACTAAACGGAGGCTTGCTCTCAGTATTTACCAGAAGTTCCTCATAGTGGCTGAATAAAGGAATCATTGATATAGCTGTTTAGTACTTCAGAAATTCATGTAGGAGTTGATGTGGTGACAATGTATAGGACCTCAGCTGCAGTAATCATTTGTTCTCTTCTTGAGAGGGCATCTATAGTAGAGTTGGGAACCCTGACCTATATTGAATGGTGTAGTTAACTTTTAACAATTTCATTATGCCTTTTTGTTAAATCATGCAGGACACCCTCTGATCCAGAAGATATTTCAGGCTGTTTTTGGCCTACCTTGATGACAAATTGAGTTTCCTCCAAATAATGCTGCCACTGACTTTCTGCATATAACATAGTCATGAGTTGTATCTCGTGCACCGACTTCGATTGATCTCTAGGACTCAATGCCTTGCTAATGAAGGCTATGAGTCTTTCTTCTTGCATAAGAGCTACTCCACTCCATTTGTCACTTGCATCAGACTCCATAGTAAAAGAGTCTCCAAATTTTGGCAGTCTCAACATTAGGTTGGAGGTCATGACGGATTTTAGTTGCTGGAAAGCTGGGTTAGACTCAGAACTCTACTAGAACGCCCCTTTTTTAGTAAGTTCGTGAGTGGCTTTGTTATAATGCCATTGTGTCGAATGAATTTGCAGCGTACCTTGTCAAGCCCAAAAATACTTTGAGAACTTTCAAGGTTTTTAGTGGCCGCCAACTAACAAAAGCTTTTGTCTTTCTTGGGTTTGTCTTTACTCTTTACTAGGAGATTATATGACCTAAATATTCCACTTCATTTTGGAGGAAACAACATTTGGATTGCTTGACATACGGTTTATGGTCCCTTAACAGTTTTAGTGCATCTTCCAATTTCTTGTAGTGCTCTTGCTCATTATAGCTGTAAACTAAGATGTCATCAAAGAAGATTAGGGCAAATTTCCAGAGAAAAGCTCTGAATACATGGTTCATGAAAGCCTAAAAAGTCATTGGGGCATTGGTGAGGCCGAAAGGCATCACCCTGAATTCATAGTGGTCTTGGTGCATTCTGAAGACTATTTTCTTAATATCCTATTCCCTCACCTGTATTTGTTGATAGCTAGCTTTGAGGTCCAACTTGGAGAAGATCACAGCCCCATGTACTTCATCCAATATATCATCATTGATGGGCACAGGGAACTTATCCTTCATTACGAGGGAATCAAGTTCCCTGTAATCAATACAGAATCCCTAAGATCTATCATTCTTTTTGACTATTTAAACAGGAGACGACAATGGTCTGTGGCTGGGTTGGATGATGGATTCTTCCAACATTTTTAAACTTGTCTTTCTATCTCTTTCTTCTGGTGAAAAGAGTATGGGTAGGGACATATATTCACTGTCATCCCTACTTGAGTCAAGGATATGGTATGATCAAAAGCCCTCGGTGGGGCCAGGCCTTGAGGCTCTTCAAAGGCACCTTTGCTGTGATTCAGCAGTCTAATGCTTCATTTAAATTCTTTGTGGCAATGTCCATTGACTCTATCACCATCACCAGAAAGACTGCCCTCATTCAATGGATTGCTTGTGCTTCAATTGTGCAATTCATGTTGGACAATTTTCCACTTGTATCACCTCATTCAAGAACTATTAACAAGTCACCATACCTAAAACTTTGTAGTGGCATGGACAAAATCAAATAATTCAATGTTGCTGTTGATCTTCTAATCATTGGCTATCTTCACTAAAGAAATTATGAAGCAATTTTGAGGGAAGTTTTTCCTCTATTTTTTGCTTACTTTTTCCAGTTCTAAAGGAGCATATTTATACACAAATGAATAACAGCTTTTCTGCAGGAGAGTCAGATTTTTTAGATAAGGGAATATTTAGAATTGGTGTAGGTGACACATCACCAATTTTGTTATTATCCTTTCTACGACATACAAGAAAGGACAAGGGAGATGACAGCTGTTTTCCTTCTAGAATAATAGCTATTTTCTACATTTTCTACACTCCCCCTCAATCTAATTTACATAAATGTTGTGTAAACCTAGATTGAATATAATATTTTCAAATACATGTTTAGGAAGAGTTTTGGTTAGTATATCAGCAACTTGTCAATCTGTGGGAACATGAATGATGTCTATAACATTGTTTTCGATCTTCTCTCTGATGAAATGCCGGTCTATCTCCACATACTTTGTCCTACCATGATGGACTGGATTCTTTGCCATTCGGATAGTTGACTGATTATCACACCATACTTTTATGGGCACTCCTGGAGTCAGGTTTAGCTTTGACAATACTCTCTTTAACTAGACACCTTCACATATACCATGGGCAAGAGCTCT